AGAACAACTTTCATTTTTCAGGCTCGAATGTGTTCTTATATAAATGCTACTTTATTTCCTAAAATCAGGCCTGGGTGTTCTTAATCCACTTGTTCTTATATGCAGGTTTTTACTGTATTGATGTACTGTTAACATCATAAAATGTTCAGTTTTCAAGTGGAGCACTCATTGTGTTGTTCTGACTAATACAATCCATTTATACTAAACCATCTATAGGATGTTGTTTTTAAAAAGGGCTACTTGGACGAAAATTGAGAAACATTAGAAAAGACTTGGAAATCAAATAGAACTATCCATATGGGTCTAATAACCATAAAGCAACAGATTTTAAGAAGATATTGATACAAATCCTTAATAATTTGGGTAAAAAATGTTGGAGTAGATGACGTCATTTACTCAATCCTTTTGTTTTTCCATCTTTTGAATCAAAATTTMTCTGAWGTGGGACAATTSCAAAACAAAKATTTTCCCGCAATTGYTTTTAATAGATATATRTGAGTCATATATTTGTATTGCTTGAAGTTTTGAAATAAGRCCATTTTCATGCAAGTAGCACTTTATAAAATCTTTCTAAGATCAATGTTTATTGATATTTTCAGCCTGTGGAAGACGCCTTGGCTGATGATTTGAGTCCTGAAGCAGATGATGATACTCTCCTACCAGCCGTGTGACAAGTTGACAAACAATTCCATAAATAATTGTAAAGTTTTTTTAAAGTCTTTATAGTTAGAACAATAGTAAAAAAGGAATGGTAAGAATAAATTGAAAAGAAGTCAAACAATAGAACTCCATGAACAGCCATTTTCCTTCTCTGCTGCAAGGYTAGAAAAAGAAACTGCTTCAAGTTTCTCTCTTTCTTTGCAGTGGACCTGGAGACTTCCTTTATGCAGAGAGTACAGTAGCTAACAAATGAATTATAAAAAAACGGTTGAAATATATTGGTATATGGCTCACTGGTGTAGATCCCTGCAGTTCCAAAGAGAGATACACTCTTTGGTTTGGTCACTCTGACAGTCAAACTACATTAACCTCACTAATAAGTGGTCTATCACACAGAAATGTCACAATAAAGTGGAATATTTCCAAGATGTWCAACCATTTACACAGGGGCGGATCCWGGATTTTTCAGGGGGGGGTGGCTAACATCAAAATTTAATATTAAATTATGCTACAATTAATTTGACTCTTTAGGCTCTTGTGAAATTATCCTTTATWGTTATCTCAGGCACACCTATAATATTTCAGACTTTTCAACAAACTTTTATATCAAAGATATTTATGAATATATAAACATCAGTTACATYAAACAGTTCTTCTCACTCTATATTTTTTCGAAGCAATTATATATTTTCCATTATACAATAATCCTGTTATTTAATTTCTAAAGTCTTTATATATTTTTTCAAATAAAAGAGGGGGTTGGCTAGCCACCCAATCCACACACCCCCTGGATCCGCGCCTGTTGCAAGAACATGTCAAAAGACAGGAGTACATTATGAACTCTCCTGATAACTGACTGTCTCTGTCATCTTGAMATAGCAACAGAGCAATTTTGCAGAATGATATTTTAATCCTATGTTAAAGTTATTTCTTTTTTTAAAGTTTTGTTAAGTATCAGGTTAATTGTATTGCATATCGTAGTATATATTTGATTAATAGCACCATTTTGCTTCTTCCATTTGCACTGTACCAAGCCTTAAAACCAGATTGGTTATAATTGTCTGATTTATTAAAAKCAGTGTTTGCAGAATTCAACAGAAACATAAATATTAGCTATTCATTGCAATAATATATTAGTTACATTAAATGATCCTGATATTTTTTTTGTGTTAGCTCACACTGTACCATAAGTATGTTGCACGCTCATACTAAGTCTGAACTAAACATTTACACTCAGAACATAAAATTCATGACTTTCCATATTAATTACATTCAGTGATCAGGAACAAAGCATTGACCCAAGGTATCAAGGACAATGAGTGCTGATCAGTTCTTTTATCCTTACTGTACCTTGATGCCTCAGTTGAATACTTTGTTCAAGGCCACTGAACGTGAGTATAGATTATTGCGATTCGAAGGATTTATTAGAAATTATATATCAGTGAGAGCACATAACTGTTTGTATTTGAATAAATTTTATACGTAACTAGCAGTTCTTACACTTGATAATTATAGAATCATGTCTTCACCCTCCATTTTCAAAATGTTTGAATCCGCGGCTTTAATCTTTTTTCCTCTGGCTGCCCAAATAGCATCTGAGTCTATGGTTTACCTACATGTAATTACTATGTAACTTTGTCAATGAGASCTGTTAATTATGGAATGTAATGTTACATATCATTTTTTGACCGTGGGGGAATGTAATGCAGCTTCTCTATTATTTTTGGCTCAACGCAAATCCGGGGGGGGAGTGCTCTCCTATATTCGTTATACGGGGATGTGCCGCCAACCAGGGTATCGTTTTCAGCAATTTTACTCTGGAACTGGGTATCGTTTCCAGTGATTTTACTCTGRAACAGGGCATAGTTTTCAGCAATTTCACTCTGGAACAGGTTCAGGGTTTTGAGGTCCCAGCGGCACAACTGCCCCCCCCCCCCCCCCCCCCCCCCAAGTTTCAGGGGAGTAAATTTTTGGACAAGGTTGTTGTAATTGGCTGAGCCCATTTGGCAGTTGGAGGAATTCTTATAGTCTAATATAATCATTTCTTAATTGGATAGTATGAATTCCTATTACCATTATTAAATATATATCCACATATTAYCCTACCTGTCCATTTACTGGACAGATACCTCTTTAGGAATTAACATATTTAAACGATAAATAATTATAGAGCATAGATTCTGAACATGTTGAATTTTGAAGATAGTGTATTCCCATCATTAATCATTCTAAATTACCATCAAAAGGAGCTCTTTAGTCAATATCTTCAAATCTAGAATTGTCATTTTGTAAGGAAGCTTATAACAATGAATTTATAYATAGCTCAACATTATGCGTTGTGGTCTTGCAATGCACTTGTTAGTAATATATACAATATGAGCGGGCGATCTGTATGTAATATACAACTCTCTTCATGGGCTATGATTTCTATTGTGTTTTGCCTTATGAATATTAATGAGTTTTATAATACAGTATATAGTATAGTTCTTCCAAGTTTTCTGAAATTAGAAAAATTAAAATCAGGCGGTGTTGGACAYAGCGCGGAAGGGATCCTGGGTTAAAATTCAAAAATGGTTTCATTTGCCACTGACCTTTGAGCTGTATGAGCCTATGAGCGGTGTGGTCAAAAAACAACTTRCTTCAAATAATCTAATAATTGATTAGGCTGCCTGTGTTCGTCTGACGTCATCACAAAGGTCGAAGTTGGGACAACGGGACCTCTTYTTTTCTGACATTTTAAAATGTCATTTCCCAGCCGATGGAGAGCATYAATCAAAGGAATACGGATATTTTCACCGAATCAATGCTCCGGGCGACACTCCTTGCCTAAATTATTAAGAACATGGGGTTCCTGTGGAAGGGATAATAAAATCAAAATGGCGGACATCGAAGATTCTATTTCTCGCGGATCGATTGAAGTTTGTCGTGTTATGGTCCCTGATGACGCTAATATTGCTGGTAATGTCCACGGTGGYACAACATTGAAGCTTATCGAGGAAGCTGGTTATATTATAGCTACTCGTCACTGCAATAAAGTAAAACCTGACGAAAAGACGCAATACAATGCAGCTTTGGCCAGAGTTGAACGAACTGACTTTCTTCAACCCGTGTTTATTGGGGAAGTTGTGCAAGTACACGCTGAGCTTGGATATCCTTCAAAGCATTCGCTAGAGGTTAAGGTGTCTGTTTGGGCAGAAAATTTAATGACGGGAGCTAGAAGGCTAACGAATCGGGCGGCTCTTTGGTATGTTCCTGTAGATGTTAGGCAAAGTCGTCAAGGAAATGTCGTYATTGGCGATGTACCACCTGTAGAAAATCTTAGTGATATTGAAATGGATAAAGGAAAATCCAGGTACGAATATCAGAAGCGGTCTCGATTAGAAAAAGAAGAAATATTGAAAAAGGTGAGTTCTTAAGTAATTCATAAAATATTAAGTAAATTATAAGAAAATGGCAGAGTTTGGGGGCCCTGTGGGTGTGTATTGGGTGTAGAGTGCACACCCATTAAACCAATAAATGAAAATTTGACTATTAAATTGAGATAAGTCAAATAGGCACAAGAGTTAAATGCGGTAGCCGACTTTTAAGTTAAAAACCTCAGTCATTTGTGAAAAGTTTTTTAGCATAGTGCCTTGTCTTGAATTTCTTTTGTGCTCTGAGCCACAATTTGTAGTTAACTATACAATAACTAAGTAAAGAATAWTCATGAAAGACAGAAAGCCATTCCAGATAAGTTCAATAAATGTGATCACAAAGACACACTGTTGTGGATTAGAATGAGCTACTGAGCGTAAAAAAATGCAGGTAGSAAAGAAAACTAAAGAGGTAATGTAAAATGTACAAAGTTCTCTGAGTTCTTTGTGTTAGTTGTGTCAGTCAACTCATATTTTACTGCACCTTGAGTCTACTAATGAGCAGGCAATGTGTATGTATAGTTWACAACATGAGYGGCCGTGTTATAAATTACTTGTGAAACGTTTAGGCGTATACATTCATAATCTACAAAAAACTTAAAGATAAAATTGAATTTGGCTGAGAAAATTAGATTAATTATTCATGAGTTTTTACAAGTAATATATTAAATATGAGCGGGAGACCTTTATGGGCATTTAAAACTGAGAGCTGCAAGCGAGCAGTTTTATAGACCATAAAGGTCGGACGCGAATAKTTTATATTGCTTATCAAATTCCAACATAAGGTATTTAAAGCATATTTTGAAAAAAAACTTTAKGATAAAATATCATTTGTAAGAGAAAATCGAAGTTAAAGTCGTATGCAAATCAGGACAAATCTCTTGCTCATATAAAGATGYAGTCACAGCAATGATTTTCCATTGTGTTTACCTTATGAATTATTGATGAATTTGATAAGAAATGTTGTAAGAATCTTAAGATAAGATCATCTGTTTCAAAAATTTATAACGTCAGCCCACAATTTCCCAATTGATGAGGGYGAACATTCTAAAATTGAGACAAAATAATAGAATTTGTCTTCATGTAAAAAAGGAGAGACTGGTGATGAATTTCACTATTTTTTCCAATGAGAAATTAACAAAACTAAGAATTAATTTTATGAAAGAGTTAATTAAAATCAATCCAAATTTTGTATTGTTTGACAATAATAGTTTAATTTAATATATAATCAGCATGAAAGATGAAAATATTATTAAATGAAGTTGCTCTTTTATGCAACTGATGGAATGTTATAATAATATTAATTCAATAAATGATAGTTTAGTTTTGTTACTGTTTTTTTTTTAAATTTGTACATATTATGTTCTTTAAAATTATTCGAATTTACTCATGTACAATTCGCAACCATGAAAAAATTAGTCAATCAGATAACCAGACTTTTCTGCTATCTTATAGCTATCAATATACCAGACATTTTTGCTATCTTAGATTATAAGTTAAGGAGACTTTATTGCCGTGTAAGTCAATAACATAACAAGACATTATTGCCACTTTAAGTCAGACAGAAAACCAGACTTTATTGCTGTCGAAGTCAGACGGTAAACCAGACAYTTTGCCCTCTAAGTCAACCTTAATGTAATCATGCCTGTCATAATATTGTATTCTAGTACCAATAATAAAGTCTGTATTGTAATTGTATTTGATTCATAAATTTTGGGGGCTAGCTGCTTAATCAATGATTTGATTGTTCTAAGATGCCATGTAACTGTGCAAACCACTCTACTGCATCTCATGCTAAAGAAGTGCCTGTCCATTCAATACCTGCATCAAAGTCGTCATTCATTCACTTTGTTCAGCCATCAGAGTGTAGTGTTCATGGGTTTCTTAATGGTGGAGTSATCATGAAGATGATGGATGAAGTTGCTGGTACAGTGGCTTACCGACACTGTAAGACTAATGTTGTGACGGCATCTATAGGTAACTTGAACCCAAGCCTGTAATATGTATATTAAAAATTGCTATCTTAGTTAATCAGTAAACAAGAAATTTTCATAATTGATTTTAAGTTTAGTTTAAAACACAAGAGAAAATAACTTTGTAATAAATTTAGCTCATTTCCAGCAATTAATATCAAAAAATAATTTTGAGATAAATATAGCAAACTGATTATGTGGGAATCTCCCACATTGAATACGCATAAAGTAAAATAGAACCGCTCTTGGCTGTTCACTGAAATCGGTTGACATCCTGCATTGGTCAATGATCAGRYTTCAARYMYGAGACCTTTGCTAGGGTCATGGACCTTTATGTCTGATAAAGGTCACCCTTATTAGTATTCTTTTATATAAAGATAACTCATTAATTATGTATGAGTTTTTGAAATAATATATAATTATTTGGAATGCATTTTATTCTAGTAATTAGTGATTTACATGCTATTTAAAATATGAACTGTTTTCCCAAAAACTCAATTTGTATAGGAAATTGCATGACCTTGAGTGCAATTTAATTAATAGTCACAAATAATGTTTTGAAAGTTCTTTGTAATAGCCGATTTGCAAATTTCGCCTCAGTACTTAAACACAAAAGAATCAAGACGAGGCACCGTGCGTAAATCTTTTCACAAATGACTGAGCTTTATGCACGGCACCTCGGCTTGATTCCTTTGTGTGTGAGGCAAAATTCGCAAGTTTTGCAATTCAGCTATTGCACAAACCCAATAGGGCGAGTGCAATTTTAGAACTTTCAAAACATTTACGAGTGACTGTCAATTCCAAATTGTACAAGATGTTGTGCGATTTTTCATTTAACGCTGTAATTGTACTTCTCGACCAGTGAGAAAGTATTATTTTGTTGAATGTACTATAATTCAGAAAATCTTTGTTATTTTGATGATTATTTTAGGATCTATTTATATAATATGGCACACAATATGGTCAAGTTTATAAAACTTCTTTGAATTCAAAGTCTTGCGACAGTAAAAAATGATGGCAAAAAAGTTGAAAAGTACTTCCAGGCACTGTAGTTATATAATCTCACTTTTGTTTGTACATGTAGATGCCATTGATTTCCATGAGTCAGTAACAGTTGGTCATATCGTCAATATATTTGGATTACTGTCATTTGCAAGTTCTAGATCCATGGAGATTAAAGTGGTTGTTGATGCTGAAGATCTTATTAATGGTACAGTAGCTAACTAATACCACAGATCACATGACAGTTTG